TGCCTAGACTGTGTAAATACAAGACATTGGAGCAGATTCCCTACATTTTGGTCAACATAATGCCCTGGGTATTATCATGATTGGTACTTCAGATATTTATGGAACAATATGAATCAAATACTGCTTAAAAGCAAACAAAAATTATTAAATTTTATTAGTTTGACATGCAATGTATCCGCATGAGATACAGAAATAAAGAACAGACTCTCTTTTAATTTAATAAATAATATGAATGGTTTTAAATGGTTGTAGATTCCTTATAGGATATAAGGATTCCTTATAGGATTGCCAGTATAAAGTCTTCTGCTACGTAGAACTAAAAACTAGCTAAAAAAGTTAAAAATGCAACAAGTGCTGCAGAACAATATTAAAATAAAAACAAGAAAAGATTTGCTGCTTTAGCTATTCCATAAAGAAATGCATTTCCAAAATACTACTATTTTAAATCAATGTTTGGATAATATTAATATTTTTTAAGGCTAAGTTACATGGAGAGAGAGAGATGTAATTACCAGCTCTACTACTGGGTGTTCTTCTATGGCAGCTGGTGGGACAAGAAATTATTCTTTAACATAGCGTTTTAAAAGTCAACTCTCCTGCCAATATCAGGAATGGCAATATTAAAAATTCCCCTATAAAATATTGTAGGTGAAGGAAGATCTCAGCGAGTTTAAAATATGATTTAATTCTGTGTATGCACACCAGAGAGGAGCGTGTCTATTTGGTTACTGCTTTATTACGTTCCCAGACATGTTAGCGTGTGTTGTAAGAGAAATGGCTGTGTCATACAAGCAGGCTGCCTGTGAGGTGCTTCTGGAGGTACTGCTGATGTGTGTGTCCTCAGCTGCTCCAAAACGTCTGCCTTAGAGCTTGGGAGGAAAACGCTGAATTCCTGGTGCATGCATGAGATACCATGCTGCCCTGCCTTTCTGAAAAACTTGGACTTGATAGTGAAGGTTGGGGAGTAGTTTATACTAAAAATGTGCTTTAAAAATAAGATTTGATTTGAAATTACCCTAAAAAAAGGAGCAGGTTCTTCAAATATTTTCTAGTTTCAAAGTTAATTATATTTCTAATGTTAGCATTTAACACCCCATTATATGCACAAAAAAACTCTAGAACACGAAATTTGGTTGTAATGTTCTCAGCAGAAATCGTAATAAAGATGCCAGTTTAGCAACAGTGAAATGATGATTAATTATTTTTTCTCATTAAATGTTATATAGAGGTCGAGTTTGATGGCTACTATACAGCCAAGTGTATTGCAATGCTGTATTTCGAATCTTTAGAGAAGCTCATTTGTACTCCAAGTGTGTTAAAAATGGTAACAATAGTGCAGAGAGGTTTTGTTATTTGGCATGGACTATCTAGAACTGTTCCATCAGTTAAATATTTTGAATTTATGAAGGCTTTTACAATACAAACATGAGATATAATGTACAAATGTTTTAGGGGATTGAACAATATGTTTCGTATTTTTTAACCTCTCTTTCTTGATGAAATTAGGGGGAGGCTGGGGAGTATTCTGCTTATCCTACTTTGCTGAGATGGCAAAATATGAACACTTCAAGACCTGCTTACCTTAAAATTGAGCAAGCCCACTGCAGTTTCCACAAAGGGGATAAAATTCATTGGTTCTGCAAGTGTTCGGCCTTTTAGGTGATGTAAGAATCTGTCTGAAAACTAAAACTAGACAGTATGAGCTATCAGAGAGAGAAAAAACACGTTAAATTTTCACCTGGCTGTAACAACACCCCTCCCTACCCCAAAAACTTATAATTAAAAAAAAATTAAACCAGCTTTTAACGAGGCTTGCGATTTGAAACCACAGCATTCCCATACATTTCTGAGTTTCTAGGCTGGTTTGGAAAAAAAAATAAATTAAAAGAATCCAGGCTTAGCACTTCTCACCCTGGTTTAGTGAAATGCAAATCCATAGGCCCTGAAAAACAATGAAGTGCTGCTGTACCTGAGGTCCAGTTTTGTTTCAGGACCAGTACTGCCATCACTGGAAGTGCTCCCCAGCCTTCTAAGTGGCATCCGTATTATTCATTACGGCACCGTTACCCTTTTGTTCAATAGGCTTTTCTTCATAATTTTTTAGCTTACCTAGGAAGGCCTTAAAAAGGAAGTTTAATTCTTTGAAGACCAAAGCTTGCCAATTTTTTCCGTGAGACCAGTTCACAGCTAGCTCTGAGCTGCCAGTGGGGTAGCCCAAATTCCAAAATCTATCATCTGGAAACATACAAAAGCTCTTGCACAGATTTTTCCCCTTTCAAAAGGGGAAAAAAAAAGGGGGGGGGGGAAACCCTTAGTCCTATATTGTAAATATATTATGTCTGTCCAGATCGAGTAATTTGCGCAGAGATAAACATATCGCAGGTATGGCAAAAATATGTTAGTAAATAAAGACAAAAATAACATATGCATATATTTTAAATTTAAGGAATATTCAACTATTAATGGATATCAAAGGAAAGGGAATTTTAATCATCTCTCCATTCAGTCTCAGTTGGGTAAATCATATCTAAGAGATTTGCATAAATATAAACCATCAAAGACTTTTCATCTTCAAAGGGGGTTTCAAGACCCTATAAGCTTTGTACTGTAATCATCACAGGTCACAACCCTGCAGGAATAAGGCTGCTATGGCAACATAAAAAACTAATGCTTAAGGCTTAGCATAATATTCTGACTAATAGAAAGGAAACTCATTTTAAAAGCTGGCAGCCTATTTACCAGAAGCTGGATTAGAGGTGTTATTTCCCCTTTTAGCTTCCCCCTACCACCCCTCCCCAAAAGAAGGAAAATCTAATCACCCAGATCTTGAAAAAAAAAAGCTTTCCAGCAATTTGCAGTAACTTTACAATTAGGCCAAAATAAATCACAGCTTTCTTCGATGAAGAATTCTGCTCTTCCCACCCCTGCTTTGCATCGTCATAACTTTTCTTTGGGGAAGAGAATTCCACCCAAAAATGTGCAAGGAGAAAAAAAATAATAATCAATTCAATTCACATGTGGAAGTGTACAGTATGGCAGGTACACAGCGACAGAAAACAATAAACTTCATACAGGCAATTGCAGAAAATGAGGCAATACAATGGCATCAGCATGTATTCTTAACACTCCTATCTGATTTTAATGCTTTATGTGAAAAAAAAAAAGTAAAAAGCGTTATTGTGTTTATATTTTAGGTGCAAGTTAAAGCAGCAGAGTTTTTCCTTTATTTTAAAATATTTTAAAAGTCAAACTCCTGGGATTTTTACCATCTTTTGTTTTGAAGGTAAACAATCAAAAAAAGCACATTTAATTAAATATTGTCTCCCTTCCTCCCCCTTTTAGAAAATTTGCAATAAGCACCAATACAAAAGGTAATGAGTGGAGAAGTTTCAATTAATTTTTTTTTCTTTTCCAAAAGGGGACGATTAAATGTTTCCGGCCTGGTAAAGTGTTCATTTCAGGGAGAAAAGGGAAAAAAAAAAGAAGGCGGAGGGAAAAAAAAAACCACAAAGCTTGGGGAGGGGATGAAGTAGCAAGGCCTCAGCAATTCTTTCAATTCCAGTGCACACCCAATAGTGTGTCGGGAAGAATGCACACTGGTCGGGATTTGTGGGAGAATTGTCCCGCCACAAAGGAGGGAGAGTTACGCTTGTTATAGTCCAATAAGCCATGCCAGTCAAACAAGTACCCACACTAGGGACAAAAGGAAAGCAAGAGATTCTCACACAAAAGAAAACAAGTAAGCCCATCTTTTAGTTGTGCATCAGCCTCCAGGTTTTCTGCTGCACATAAATAAAAATGAAGGGGGGTTTTATGTGGGGTGTGTGGGGGGAAATAAACAGCTTCTGGGAGGCTGGAAAAATCATGTTGGAGTGAATTTTGGGAGGATTAGGAAAAGAAGGCAGTGGCGTTAAAGCGGAGTGTGCTCTTTGTGTGCAAAGGTTGGGCAAAGTGAGAGGGAAGTGGAAGGCGGACCATGAGGCAGACCAAGTTGCTGGTGCTGGCTTGTTTTCCATGATGGAAATAAAAATTTGCAAGAGGGAAGGTGGAAGGGGATGAGAGGACAAAGAGCCTTTGCATCCCACCTCTCCTGCAAAACCTATTTGGTGGCAGCAAGGGCCCTGCCATTTTGGAAGCATGAATATTCATTACTGACAAGTTATGTCTAACACTTACATGGCTGTAAACCCTGAGAGGTATCTCAGGTTAATTTAATTAAATGTTGGTGGAAGGGGACAGTGTATCTTCCATCTTGAGCAGCGGAGGCCAAAGGGGCAGTGTCACAGAGCGGACAGGGCTCATCACGTACCCAATGTGTTTGCTCAGTTGTATGCTCACGCGTGATCTTAACGGTTTGATCAAGGTTAGATGCTGAGATTAAAATAGATCCTAATACGACTGCCTGCCTTTCAACACAGCTTGCATGCATGCTAGTTGCTCGGCTACTGGTTTGCAAAAATACATAAGTGAATAATTAAGCCTTATTCTTTTACTGGCATGTTACAGAAATAATGGTATATCGAAACAATTGTTCCCCTTTTCGTGACAATTAAAACAATTATAGCATAATTAGGCCTATTTCAAAGTTTTCTTAAGTAATTTGACATGCTAACCATTTACATTTCAGGTTTTTATTGGCTGAAAAGTCAGTCATGAAACACAAACACACCTGTCAGCAATTAAAAAGGAAGAAATAGAGAACTGTTCAGGAAATAATATCTGTGCTAATTAAAAACACTAGTTAAAAGCTTCCTGTTTGTTCCTCCAGTTGCCCCAAGGAGTGACCTCCCCCCCAACCCATTTTTTCATATGTTGCTAACATGGTTTCTCCACCTCCTTCTTACAATGCATGTAACTAAGGCTCACAGACAGAGACAGTAATTTTGCTTGTTAGAATAGTTAGAGTCAGATACTTATGCTTCTATTTTTGATAATATGCTCTGACATCAATAGTGGCTCTTTGCTGAAGAACCAAGAATTTCTCTTTTGTGAGAGAAATAAAGCTGTTTTTCTTCATAAATGCAAGGTGCTCCATGTATGCTTTTTGTATAGCACATCTTACACACATTTAAATGGATGCATTTCCCAATTACCTTAGTCAAAACCCAACATTATATGGTATTTGAAGCCTTCCTCATAACTCAAAGTCATTCATCTCTATGCCTGTGAACTTGGCCCAACAGCTTCAGTCAAAAGCTACTGGGTTGTTGCTACTCACCCATCTTATTTCTTCAACATTTTCAACCTTTGGCAGCATCATGCTTGAAGGAAGAGTCTTGGACTGCAAAAGCACCTCTAGATCTTCTTCTGCAAGACCGCTGGACACAGAGTTTATCCTAACACACCTTTCGGCATGGCCCAAGTCAAACTCTTCAAGGGTTTTCACAACTGTCAGTCTTGCTTCTTTCTAAGATATATATGTATGTAAAGAAAATAAAAAAGGTTATTTTCTATTGACAGAAAAGCGCATTGAGCAGAAGACTTGTTGAAATGATGTGGGGAAAAAACTAGACAGCCAATATATTGGTGTTCCCCAAATGTCTGTCACTCCTGGACTTTTATTGAAGCAGTCATCACCAGCACCTCACAATTTTACTTTCCTCTTTTCTTTATAAGTAGTAAATAAAATGCTTGGTTTTCATGTCTAAGTATTTCTACACCACCACTTGTAGAAAACAAGATTTTTGTGTCCACTATTACCAAATATGTCTAACAAACACAAAGCTTTATACTAACCACAATGTGTTGCGCTATCTGCACTCACAAAAATGGCATGTTAATAAATTTGCATAAACTAATTCATTTTTGTAGTTCAGCTCTATATTGCCTGTGCTGAAATAGCATGGATGTCAGCAAGCACAGAGGTACCTATACCTGGTTGATTTGCTATATCAGTCTTCCTTTTCTCCATGTATCCGATGTGTATTAAAGCCTGTAGTAGAGTTCACAACTCACATGTAAAAAGAACGCCAAAATAACTTTTCTTGAACGATGTAAAAAGCTACTTTCCTGCCTGCACAAGATAAATCTCCAAAGACACGAGCTTCCTGTGGCCATTTGCTATTTTTATGAAAGCAAATTTACAAATTTCTTTAATAGTTGATTTGCATGAACATTACTTGCATGTTTTCCTGAAATGAAGCGCATTTCTTGGTCTGGAGAAGAAGGGCAAAGCTGGGGTGGGGAAGGAGGTGCTGAGCTCCCTGCTTCCTGCCAACTGCTGTATCAACCCCAAATTCTACCCAGTCGCCAACAGCCCCTAACAAATTTGCATTGTCAAAATGCACACTTATCAAAAGTAATTTCATTTGTGAAGAGTTTTTATGGGGCTAATAAAACTTTAAAGCTCCTGACTCATGGAGGTTCAGGAATGACTTTAACAATATGCAGTCGCTGAATAGAGATGCTTTTCAAGAAAACAGGCAAACTCAGGGGAAAAAAAAAGAAATCATCAAAGTTAATATCCAGGCTAATACCAATCAGTGAGACAGCACATGACAGTAGATTTAAACCAGACGGATGCAAATCTCTGCTGGCGAGAGGGGCAGAGGCGGTTTCCCAATGTGGTCTGAGTTAAACAGTGTGAGGGAACAGTAGCTTACAGTTGTCAGGTCTGATCAGAACAGGGTCTCCCAGGGCAGTTTAAGACAGCTCTGCAGTGTACTGATTTACTGGGCTGGGACCCCCAATAATTAGGGTAAGTTTAGAGAAATGCAAGTGATGGCTCTAACTGGTTAAAAGGAAGAAATAATGAAGCAGAAAGTTAATGAAATATGAAGGAAGCAGCCTTCAGCTTGGGGCTACTAGCCATGCTCCTCCAAAGGTTGGGAGCATATGCCCGCTAATCGGACAGACAGGAGCGAGGCGCACATGTACACATCCCTGTGCTGCGATCAAGGGGCACATTTGGAGGTAATCTCTGGAAAATACAACCCGAAACGTTCGAACTGCTGTGAATGGGCTCTGGCTGGGGCCATTAGGAAAGCCACACAAAGATGCATGCAGTTTACTACAAACACATCCAGCTGGAAGACAGCTCCAGCACACAGCCGTCTGAAATAGTCCTTCTGAATTAGGTAAACCAAACCATATGATGCCATTACCGGATAATACAAATCCCCTATGTTTTCCTTCTCCGACCAGGGGTAATGGGTTCCTAGGGCTGGACTGAAAGTTTCTGGATATGATGCAGAAGGGTAGCTTAAAAACACGTTCCAAACCAATTTATGCTTTTAATTAAAGTCAGATTATCACCGTTTCAGCACACACTGATCCAATTTGCAAAAGAAAGATCTCCCCAAATTATCCACTAAGGCAGCATCTAATTCCAACTGAAGGCACATCTCTAGCAAAACTTACAGCTTAATTCAGGACAATTTTTTTCAGATTATAATAATGAGCACTAGACCATCTCATTAGCTATTTTTCTCCTCAGGCTGCAAACTCCCTTCCCAAAAAAGACAGATCGTGTCTTTCTAGGTATATTTCCATACAAAACACTTATTAACAGGCTGTTGCTGTTATCAATTTACATAAACTAAATGTGCAGCCCTCTGGTACGTATCCCAAAAATAACTAACAACTTCACTGAATTTATACCAACCAACAAGCATGGGGAGGGGGTTGTTGTTTTTTCCCATATTTTAATAGAAAATATGTTGCTATGTTAGTTAACACACCCATGCCATCTGTTGGGTTGAGAATTTATGCATTTTCTGAGAACCACTATATTTTAGATCTGTCTGCCTAGATACCCCAGGAATGGAAATGCTTCCCTTCCATGATAAAACACTTCTAGTCCCTATAGTTTCCACATTAGGATTTAATTTACATTTTCAATTGTGGGACAAACTGAGAGGACCTAGTTGCCAGAGTCAGAGCTCTTGAGCGGTTTGAGTCAGTGCCTACCCTTCCTACAACAGAAAAAATCCCACTGATGTTAGTGGGGTACATCAGGTCCTCACCCAGGCTTTCAATAAAACATTTCGTGGATAAATAAAAAAGTGTTCTAAAACCTCTGACTAAATGTACTAAAAATTTGGAGGGAAGGGAGAGCCCTTTCTGCCTCACTGCACAGTAAAATGTAGTTGCTATTCTTATAGTGGGATCCCCGCAAAAGCTAAAATTTTAAGCTAGGTAAACTACAACATTGTAAGAGTAACGAAAAAAGTTAGTCCTTGATACAAAAACATCTTAATAGCAGTAGACGCAAGGATAAACACATTTTACAAACACAATGTGAAGTCTCTGCCAAGAATGGTCAAACTAAAATTTTTAAAGCATGGTGAAAGAGATTATTTACCCTGTTCTTTACATGAGAACTATAACATTGGGTAACACTGTCATAAATTAAGAGCTGATAAAAAAATATACCTGATTGTTAATAAATTATTCCATCCCAAGGTAGCTTGGGATGGCTGTATTCCCATTGGGTCCCATGTGGGTTGGGTTCTTTATCAATACAAACAAGAGAGAAAGACAACAGCTTCATGGTAAACAGCAATATTATTAAAAGACACTAAATTCGCAACTCATGCTGGAAAACCCACTGGAAAAAAGATGTTGGTCAGGGTGGCTGCTTTAGCGTCCCTTCTGTTTGACCCTGAGGAGGTCATAGGAAGATGTTCATTACCACGCACAGCTACACCAACTGGAGAAGATAAAGGTTGCAGTGACGCAGCATCTCCAACAATCCACTGCCACCCAGATACAAAAACACTGAAATTAAAGACGGGAACACACGTGTTGCCAGCTCAATTGGCATCCATTAAACCTAATAACTAACCATCCTCACAGGTTCCTAGCTCTGAATTATCAAATCTGCAAAGAAAACAACATCCGTCCACTTTTACACTCCAGTGGAAGAGGTGGTCCCTCGCGGCGGGGCTGCGCAGTCTCGCCATCTGGAGAATAAATCGAGTGTGAAGTACAGTATAGTTTGGGACCAAGCTCCGTGGCGGCAGCCCAGCAGTTAGTTCATTAGTCCCAAACTTGTGGGGATTAGTGCGGTATCAGCTCTACTGTCGGATGGGATCAGGCAGGCAGAGCGCGAGACCTGAGGAAGGGGGTGGCGGCGAAGAAGGAGCCCCTCGGGCTTATTTATAAAACTACACAGCATAAGTGCACCTAAATAGGTGCCTTTGATAACAGTATTATCATAGTCTCCTTCCAGCTGATTCAGCACCTTTCCTTCTCTCCTTTCCCTTCCCCTCTCTTTTTTTCTTTAAGTTATATGTCAAGACATAGAAATTTCCACTTCGAAACAGAAGGAATGCCAAAGAGCTGGAAGCTCAGCCAGCCACTCACCCTGGACACAGTATTGATACAGCAATAACCCAGCAAAGATGGTCAGATTAACAGGATTTTGAGGAGTGAAACAGCAGACGGAAAAATGACATTTTATTCTTTCTTTTCAAATTGGTATGATACCTCACAAACCAGTTTTCCAGCACTGCAATTTCTAGACCTGCCTGATTTTGGGGGACAAAATCTCTGTTTTCCTCTCTTTCTTTCCTGGCCTTACCATCTTTTTTTTTTTTCCTCAAGACTTTCAGGTCTTAATGTAAAGATTGTGGGTATACTTAAAGATATGTTTATTGTAGATGTTAACATCTTTTGGTAATAATTCTTCATATGGAAATGTAAATATATGATGCACTAAAATGGCAGGCCAGAATCTATCATCCTCATTGCCATAATAAGTTTGCATGTTTCAAATGGCAGAGGAAAAATTAATTACTATAATCACAATTCAAGTTATTTTTTGTGACAGGTCTGACATGGTAAAAACATACAATTATGTGTTAATGTTACTTCCCTGGAGCGGTTTGTTTACAGGACTTGACACTGCTGAATCTTTTGTCACTCATATTAGTGCATACCCTACGAATGCATCTTTCAAATAAGGGTCTGTGAAAGCACACATATATTGTATACTCCCAGCATTTTTATGGGCAAAACTGAGTTTCTGCAGAGGGAAAGCCTGACATTTCTTACATGCTTCATCTCAGTCAGTGAAGTGATGTCATACAGAATTATACTTTTAGTTTCAAATTCACAGATGGGATTGGCAAGAGAAAAGACAAATTATGTTTGTTTTTAAGAGAACAAAGAGAATCGTAACCGCAAAGCAGAGTGTTTCTGAGAACAGGAGGGGCCTGGCTCTCAAGGCCTGCCTCTCGAGGCCTGCCTTCTACCTTACAGGCATCAGGTACTTGTGAGAATAAGTCTTTGAAATGGCAAATACTTATTTCCAGTTAGTCCTGTTGAACTGAAAAACTGATGCAAAATGTGCACATATCACAAAGACTTCAGGAAGCCATTACTAAATAATTTCTTATAGTTACCTTTGAGCAGATAATCAGTTGAGGAGTTTTTAAAGACTTACGTTTTAAAACACATTTTCTTTTGGTTCAACAAGTAACGTGCCAAACCCATCGTGTAATCCTAAAGGAAAGAAGGGGCAGGAGTGGGGAGGAGGAGGAAGAATGAGGTGTCCATTGTATATGTCTGTGTTTCTCCTCTGCAGTTCAAGCAAATGCACATTTTAGAGCACTGCAAGGTTTCTGATTTTTCTGCTACTCTTTCCTGAAACCTTTGAATTATTTCTTAAATAATTATTTGGTCTATTCAAGCCTCTTCTTTTTTTATACCAACCTTTTCACTCTTCTGAAAAAGAGATTCTTCATGACATAATGAGTCATCTAACTCGGTGCACCTCTAGCATCTGCTGCTTTTCTCTTTGCTCTGCTAATTGTCTTTACATGCAGCACATGGTCTAGCAACACTAAAATGAAGCAACCTTTGGTGGCCAACATCATGAACTATGCTGCAATTTAATTATGCTCTGCTAAGAAAGCTTAATTTCTTTGCCCATTTTCCTAGAAGTTTTATTTAAGGTCTAGAAACACA